TTTAAGTTATTCCACAATTAGAAAGCATTGTGATTCAAAAGGACTGAAGTATTCATAAATTGTGAATGAAGATGGAAACAATGATAAGGCTTATTCAGTGATTGGATACAGTCCTGTAGCTTTTTGGCTGACACATTTTTTATTGTTTATATTTTGTTTGGCATCTAAGCGTGATTGACTTAGATATGGATATTTTCAGCGAGTAAACGTAAGCTGCAGTGGAGCAAAGCTGGGAAAGGGTACTGTTGAGATATTTCTTTTTCAAAAGAGAAATCAATGCACGTAGGAAGCGTTTTGTGTGACAGAGACGCACATGCTTGCAGGTACACACAGAGAAATAATTACTTACGGTGGAATCTGCAATTAGTAAAAATTAATTCTATGTGGGCTGTCCATCCTGTGAAATTATTGACAGGCTGCAAGACCTCTGCACCAGAGTATAAACCTGAGAGAGAAACTTAAGAGAGTGGTCTTTATGTTGGAAACATGCAAATTTTCACTGCCACCTCTATTACAGCGGGTAGCTAATTTTGTTGTTTCCTGCTCTAATGACTTTTTTTTTTTTTTTTCCCCCATATGTTTGCTTGTTGGACTCACAGATGTACTAGATTTCCTCATTCTTTACAAATCTGTGTTAAAATACAGTACTCATGGGTATACAAAACCACAACATTGTACTTCTACAGCCATAAGTACAGGAAAGCAATTCCTGGCTTTCGCACGTTGATAACTTCTCCATAATAATTTACAATCACACTGTATCGTGTGCCATGCAGAGACAGTTCCCATTTAGTGGTACGTACATGGAACGCAGTTGCAGCAAGTTGATTTTAATTTGGACTCTTTCTCCACCTATTTGGAACGGTAAAGACGTTTTAAAAATCATCCTTCCTCTCTATAAATTAAGATCGCACTGGCAATGAGAATTATGCTTGTAGTTATTTATTTATTTAAAGCAAAAGATTGATTAGTGTTATTTTGAGTTGTGACCGAGTTAAAGTAGTACTGCCAAAACTGTTCTCTCTATTGTGCTCTCCGTCTCTAGGGCTCTCGCGATGCGCGTTGTCTGTGGTAGTATATGCTCCGCAGAAAATATTTTGGTAAAACCTCTAAGCACAGAACACCTGTTTGGACTCCTTGCGAAAGCAGTAGTTCAGTTTGCGCCGAGGCAGAGCTGAAGCACCTTTTAGAAACAAGTCTAAAATCCAAAGTACAGCTTTAAGACAAACCTTGGCAATTCGAATGTCACCCATCGCTCTTCCAATAAAAGTTTGGTGGATGCAAAATAACTCCAAGGAAGAACGCAGACTTACCAAATGCAATTTAATTTTTGGGGGGTCCTTTCCTCTCATTCCCATATGGCTCTTCCCCCCTGTTTTGGAATGAGCGTGAAGTGCATTTATCTCTCTTGCTGAAGCATGATAGGATGCAGTTACCGCATGCCTTTAAGTGCTCGGTCTCTCGTGATATTTTTGCTGTGTTTTTTTTAATGTTATGGTGGTCCAGGAAACCCGGAATGTGTTGTCATTTTCCTTTCCTCCCAGAATATGTTCTTTCATTAGGCACAGAGAAAATCCATGCAGGGAAACTGAGTATGTGAAGTTTTCTCTATAAAATTTCTAGACTTCTGCTTGGTATGTTTATTGTATGGTCCTTAGTTCAAACTTTCATGAATTGATGCAAAGTTTATAAAAGTGGAAGACAAGAGAAAGGCACTGCATTTCTCCTTTACCTTTTCCAAAAAGAAAACCTGGCCTATCCATCGTCATTTGGCAACTGGTATTTTTTCCTTTATTTACAAGCTACACAGATACTATATAGTAACTTCCATTTTAATTTAAATTGCCAGTGCGCAGTGGTTCACCTGAGCCATTTGATATGACATTTGAAAATCTTACCTCCATAAATCACTATATTGCAAGAGCAACTGTGGCACATGGGTAAGTGCCACATAAAAAAAATATTTCAATATTGCCTGTGTGAATATTAAGGGGGGGAAAAAAATCAAATTCTGTAGATGGCTTTTTAGGAGGTTTAGTGGAGAATGTGTGTGATTAATTGCAAATCTCCATTTAGGATCATTTTTATGGGCACTTCTTCTTGTTAAGTAATGTTTCATTTGAAAGGACTCCAGATGCACAATGAATCTCTGAAAGATATCTGATAATATTGCTTTAGAACAGGATGTTCTTTGCTGTGTTTCTCCTTCACACTCTTTCATATATTTATACCATTAGTCGTAATAATATTATGAGAGAAAAGCCTTAATATGATTTTTAAAAGGTTTGTGTTTTTTTCACTCTTTGATAAGGAAACGTTCAGCCACTACAGATTTGAATTTAAAAAGTGGAATTTTTCTTGATAAAATTTTTGTAGATGTAAAATGCTATAGGTTATTATTGGTAATACCATGTGCATTACCTGAAGGCATAGCCGTTCCAAAATAGTTTGTGATGTTCTTCTTAAAAATGAAAACTAGATGTGCAGTATTCTAGTAGTGTAGAGTACTTCCACATAAATTTTATTGCCCTTTTAAGTTATAAATGCTGAAGTATGTTTAGCTGTAGGGGAAATCATTGTATTGGGGCAAAAATTTTTTTCTCCCGAAGCTTTTCAGCCCCCTGCCTTTGCCTCACCTTTAGCTCCAGCTGTTGGAATTTTGAAAATCTGTAGTAAATCTGTTTTATTCAGTTTAAAATGAGTCATAAGGATTTAACACTGCACAGTCCTTATGCTTATGTTATTTAAAAAAAAAAAAAGATTAAAATGCTTTGATTAAGATAATTTCTGTAGGAGAAAAAAATAAACTTTCTTTAGTAGTTATAATTGAAGGGGAAAAAAAGCGTGGCATCAGAAAGCTATGAAGATAGGGAAGTCTTATCATGGGCTGTGGTTACTCAGAGCAGTATTGCCTTCCCACACAAAGAACAGATTGTGGTTTAACTCTTTCCATGGCCTAGTTTTATGTGCCAGTATAGTATCAGAATTGTTCAAATCTCTGCTGGAAACTACTAATCAGTTTAATTATTGCCTTTGTGACTCTTTGTCAAGCATCATACTGTAATGCAATCGTTTATGTCCTGAATTATCTTCCTATATTGTCTTTCTCCTCTTTTTTCCTTTTTTCTTTTTCTTTTCTTTTCTTTTTTTTTTTTTTCTGTGAAGGTAACGTGGTCATAGGTAAATTGCTTGCAACTTTTCTGTTGTTTTCTGTGTGATTTGAGGATGATTAGGGAAGAGAGGTAACTAAATCTATTTTTTTTTTAACATTCAGGAAATTTTGGAGTTTGTTTGAAATTCGAAGATTTAAATGCTAAACTCTTGGCCTGAAGCTTCTACAATGGCAGTCTGAACTCTGTATGATTGAGACCATTAGTTATACTTTCATAATTTCTACCTAATGGAGTTAATCAGCCTATTGATTAAACATAATTCATTCCTTGTCTAGCAGCATAGCTAAAACATTAGTTTGTTAATTGTATTCTTGAATATAATTGTATAAAGAAGGTTCAGTTTTACTTTGATTGCACCGTGCCACTCAGTATGATGAGCAATCTGCGTGGTATTTAAAACTAAATATGTCTGCACACAGGAAGAAGGATACCTCCCCTAAGGTCTCCCTTCCAAACCAAAATACAGCACTGTTTGATAAGCAGATCGTGCTACTTTAACCAGCAGATTTGCTCATGGAGAAGAGGCATTAGTTTTCGGGAAAGGCCTATTTAGATATTAACATGGATGTGTAGGATGGTACTTTAAGCAGATAAAACGAATTAATTTAATTGCTATAGGATGTACTTGTAGACGACAACTACACATTACCTCCTTAATGCAATCCATATCGCTGCTAGGCAGGAGATAAGAACTTGCAGGTGAAGCCAGATGACAGAAAGGGATATCTTGGAACTGTAAATAAATCGCATGGATTTCACAAAAGCAGCGTTTGACCAGCGGTGCACTCGTAATGTCACTCTGCCACAGCATGCAGAAAAACAAAGAATGCAAAGTTTGTGCCAAGTTGCCATTTTTCATTGTACACCTCAGATTGATTTTTAAGGGGTTTAGAATAATTGCCACACTCATGTGATCAGTTAACAAATTAACTGACTCTGTGGGGCTTCAAAACCCGCAGTGGAACTGCTGGAAGAACATAAATGTAATTTTTGTTCTCAACTTCATAAACTTCTATTTTACAGAGTTTGGGGGTGGTGGGAGGGAAGCCCAAAGAGCTGGAAGTACAGACGCTTCTGTTCAGGATTTGTATACGACACGCTGTGTCTTTTGCCCGCTTCCCCTTACTGTATACTGGTTTCTCTAGTTACCACCACTGGAATGGTGCTGTTTCAGTGCTGGAATGCTGGAGGTTTGATAAGAAAATGGATCAAGTTTAATGGCGCATGCTCTTTGTGCCACCAGCAGTCTCTTGCTGAGAGCATGCTCCAAAAGCGGGAACTGTGTGGCATTGCACTGAGCATGTATGTGCTTTGTGTTTCTGTGCCACAGAGGAGAGAAATGAACTGTGGCATTCGCCTCAGCCTTCTGAACGGTTCTGCTCAGATTTTTTAAAACCGTGTGGTGTCCTCTTTGTGCAATGGTACTTTTCTCGATGTTAGCCGTTCGCTCAGATATTTGAATGTTAGAAACAAAACATCCCGAGAGCATCTCTTTTAAATGATGTTGTCTCTGCAGCGTTTCGGGACGAAGTGAGGGGAGGCATACAAAATAAAATCTTCATATGGTTCTTTCAAAGAGTGAAATACGGGGAAAACGCGATTCTCTCTGTGTTTTTTTTGTCTGCTGCCTGGCAGCGGTAGTAATTGCATAAAAGGTGTTGTGCAGAAATTTGCGTAAATTTTAAGTGTTTGTTCTCTTCGTCTTGGATGTCACTTTAAGATTTTCAGAAACCTGTCTTGATACTGCTGTGATTATGAGAACTTACTGACTTTGAGTTTTCTTCTTCTCTTCTCTTCCTTTTTTTTTTTTTTTTTCCCCCTCCACCTTCTTTCCACAGGATGAATTTCACCCGTTCATTGAGGCACTTCTTCCACATGTCCGTGCAATTGCCTATACTTGGTTCAACCTTCAGGCTCGAAAACGCAAGTACTTTAAAAAGCATGAGAAACGAATGTCAAAGGACGAGGAAAGAGCAGTCAAGGATGAGCTACTTAGCGAAAAGCCTGAAATTAAACAGAAGTGGGCATCCAGGCTCCTGGCCAAGCTGCGCAAAGATATTCGCCAAGAGTTCCGGGAGGATTTTGTGCTCACGGTGACTGGGAAGAAGCACCCATGCTGTGTATTGTCCAATCCTGACCAGAAGGGTAAGATTAGGAGAATCGACTGCCTGCGACAGGCTGACAAAGTCTGGCGTCTGGATCTAGTCATGGTGATCCTGTTCAAAGGCATCCCCTTGGAAAGTACGGATGGAGAGCGGCTCATGAAATCCCCACATTGCACAAATCCAGCACTTTGCGTCCAGCCACATCACATAACAGTATCAGTCAAGGAGCTTGATTTGTTTTTGGCATACTACGTGCAGGAGCAAGGTAGGAAGCAGATTGTCATGTTTCTATGTTAGTGTGTCAAACTGATTCCAAGTAGCCCCGTTTCCCCTATGGGCTGGCTTCCAGTGAAACACTATTCTGTGGTCTGTAGACGTAATGTGGGTACATAGCCATACGTAAATCAGCATGTATACGTCTATACTTACATACAAGCATGTTCCTACAGACCTGTGTAAATATGATGTGTGTTTGACATACATGCCTTGTTCTCTTGATTTTAAGGGAGAGCGGGACCTACCAAGGTAGTACTTTAGTTCTGCTGAAGTTGCCTTTTTTTTTTTCTCCTCAAAAAATGGCAATATATGTGTAGTTTTTCCACTTGTGACTTCAGAAAACATTCTTCTTGCTTTTCAAGTTGATGTTTTTTTCTTTAAAGTTCCCCTAGTGCTGTTTGCACAATCACAATAAATACTGCAAATATTTATTATTGTCTTTGTAGTTAAAAAGAATCAAGAACTCATCCTTAAAACGGTGAACGGACTACCACTTTGAAAAGCAATTGTAGACTTTCTCATGTCCGTAAAACAAAACATGGAAAACTTTAGCGCTGAAATACTGCTGTCTAAGTACCATATGTAGTCAGAATTACAGCATACAGTACTTAACATTTTATTCATGTTGTACGTCAGTAGCTCATCTTACCTGTCTGAGCTTAAAAACAAAGATCTAGGTTGTAATATTTTGAGAGAATTTTCCTTGAAAAGTGTATTTTCATCATCACACTTGTATACTTAATTTTATTTGGCAGATAATTGAAATGTGGAAAATTGCAGGAACACTATGGCAAAGCTTCTTAAGCTTATCTTTCCCGGAAGAAAATAAAAACAGAGCTTCTGATAATCGTGTATCAGGGAAAAAAACCTGCTAGTCATATTGCACGTTCCGATAACAATACTCACAGGCAAGTTCACCAAAATTGCAAGTGGCTGTAGGTAGTAAAGATTTTTTTCTCCAACACTAAGCTTTCTGAAACGCTTTTTCTCTGTGAGGGGTCACTTTGGTTCTTTCTGGTGATTATACCATCCTCTAGACGTCTTTGTATTGCTGACTGATCAGCAGTAATAAAGAGTTTCTTTTTTAGCGGCTGATCTCAACCAGGGGAAGTTTGACGGGCCGCAGATGGTGGGCCATTTCACAACTTGGCCTGGTAGTGGGCAGAAATGGCCTGCAGAAGGGCAGATGGCAGGTTGTTATCTGATGCCCGGTGCGTAACTGCGGGATTTAGCTGAAAAACAAATGGAATGGATTTTGTTTGTGGCAGAAAAAGTAAAATTGCACGTCTTCGTTCGGTGTGTATTCGTTCTTTAAAGGAAGAGATACACAACACAACCTTTCTGTTTTCAGTGAATTTGTCTTTTAGCATTTGCTCATGCAAGTGGAGCACTGTGTTTACGTGAATGTATAAATAAGGTTCGATTTTTTTTCATTATTCATCATGAAATAATGTATTTCATTGTTTTGTTTTGTTTTCCCTGCTTGTATTTTTTGTATTTTTCTCTCCACAGCAGTAGACAATGCTTAGGTATTTCGCAGTCACTTTGAGTAGCTGCAGAGTCTCGTAAATCTGATCCCCAGTAATATAGGAAGAAAGATTTCTTTGATAGCATTAAACGAAATAGCTTAATTGCAAATAATTTGTACCTTTAAACTCCTTTTGTGAAGAAAAATTCAAATGATATTTTGAATGCGTATATCGCAAGGCATCGCTTACTGATTAATTCTAATAGATTTACCTGTCCCTAAAAGTCAAAACTACAAAGGGAGGCAAAACGGTTTAAGTAGCTCTTGAGCCGAAGAAGCTGGGGTCAGAGTACTCTTACACACTGTTGACTTTTAAGTTGTTGGAAGCCAGTGACTTGAAGTGGGAGAAGGAATTGCAGGGCATAGTTGATTTTATTGATTTAAATGGATTGAGAATATAAGTTTATTTAAAACACTTGTCTAATCAGAAAGGAGTAGGGTAAGCATGCTGTAGTATTATAAGTTTCAAAGCTACATGATGGTGCTTTTAGAATATACTGGAAGTATAAGAAGCTGGCTAATTTTTGTGTACCAAGTCACCCTTAGTAGACCCTTTTGTTTGTTGTAAACTGCGTGTATTTTGTATCTGCCTTGCTGCTTCACAGTAAATCTTCCGTTAACATCTGTTGGCTCTCTTCTTGAAGAACTCATATTAAGTTATCTTTGTATTTTTTTCCTGTTTTGTCAAACTCTGATTCTCTGTCCTCATTGAAAGCAGGTTAATTGTGGCACTTTGTAGTGCTCTTGATTAAGAGCACAAGGCTTTGCAAAAGATAAGCATGAAGTCAACCAAAATGCTGCATTGTACACATGCTTCTCTTTTAGAATATATAAACCTGCCTAATAGTATAATGTAAAAACTGAGCGAAGACAAAGTAACAATTAAATCCCTGAACGAAATATGAAGGAGGAATTAGCACATAAAATGAATAAGGGGGCCAAGCAGTTTGGGTTTTTGTTGCTTTAAAACAGAAGATTAGGGAAAAAAAAGAGGAGGAAGGATAGTTCGAGTGCCAGTGATGGTTGCCAGTGGCACCAGGATTGGCATCAGACCTTCTTTGTTTAGCCTAGGATGCCTGTGATTTGTTGGTTGGCATCCGCATTGCAGTGCAGAGTAATGTTACAATATATTGACAATTTCCAGATCTAGAAGTGTCAATAATCCTTTCAGTTCTTAATATAAAGAGCTTCTACTTCCATGCCTGCCTTGAAAGAAGAAATAAAGACCGACCTACGAAGTTCTGTCATTGACCAACTTCATCTAGTTCTACTTTTCACTCATCTCCCTCAGAATTCAGCATCTTTTTTTTTCCCCCCTATTCTCTTTCTACTCTCCTCTTGTACTTTAGGATCTTAAAAAAACAAAAAGAAAGGGGCTTGACATTGGTTGCAATGCTCCTCCTTTGACTGAAATGGAGGGAGAAAATGGGAAGTACACACTAATCAATGTTTAACATCAAAAAAATAGTTCTTAATCATAGCACACTTCTATGGGGCTCTGCTTGTGTGTGTGTCAAGTCC